GGACATTCAAGGAATTGGCAAATTAGCATTCTATATGACATTGCACTGGAAGAACTTCAAGTAAGAAAAGCCATCTCTGGTGGTATGCAATACTGTATGTTGCCTAATGTTTATATATTTTGAAAAGAACCTGCACATGGGGAAAAAAAAGAATTTTCCTGTCATCGTGTTACTTCAATGTTTCTATTACCAGAAACCAGGTAATTCTTGACCATACTTCCATTTTGTAGCAGTTGAGTTTAAATCCTTTACAACTTTCAGTCCTGGGATTCCAGTCCAAAGAAAGCACCGCTGGCAGTTCATCTGGAAGGTCTGGCCATGAAAACCTCAGTATGTGGCATTAGTTTTAAAAACAACCAGCCTTCTACTAAATTTCATATCCCAACCCCAGTTAGACACACAACCAGAAGAAAAACACAGCAATCTAAAGAAAACAGAGACCGTACTTTTAAATATTGGTAAGGGTGATTTTTACATTTACCTGTGTAAGACCACAGATCTCCCATCTCTTCATACTGTCCCGCCTAAGGTAACACTCACAAGTGACAGTTGCTGAGAAGGCAGGTATAAAAGGGACCAGGACATTCAAGGAATTGGCAAATTAGCATTCTATGACATTGCACTGGAAGAACTTCAAGTAAGAAAAGCCATCTCTGGTGGTATGCAATACTGTATGTTGCCTAATGTTTATATATTTTGAAAAGAACCTGCACATGGGGAAAAAAAAGAATTTTCCTGTCATCGTGTTACTTCAATGTTTCTATTACCAGCAACCAGGTAATTCTTGACCATACTTCCATTTTGTAGCAGTTGAGTTTAAATCCTTTACAACTTTCAGTTCTGGGATTCCAGTCCAAAGAAAGCACCACTGGCAGTTCATCTGGAAGGTCTGGCCATGAAAACCTCAGTATGTGGCATTAGTTTTAAAAACAACCAGCCTTCTACTAAATTTCATATCCCAACCCCAGTTAGACACACAACCAGAAGAAAAACACAGCAATCTAAAGAAAACAGAGACCGTACTTTTAAATATTGGTAAGGGTTTTATGAAGACGATCTAGGATCATTTATGTTATGCTACATACTTTGTCAAGACCTTAAAGAGAATCAAAGAGGGCAAAACTGAAAGGTTGTAAAAGAGGGGCCTGTGGCGCTCAGGACCTTTCTTCTTCACGTCACTTCCTAGGTATCATCTCCCAGACAAAAGGGCTGAGGAGCTGCTTCCCAGCTCTCTGGTGAGGTTGGAGAAAAAGTCTTCCAGCTGCTCCTTTTCTTCTGCAGAAACAAACGCAGACACTTAGTCGCCTGAGTAAAAAGCCAGTCCTCCCGTGTGTCAAGACTATGTTTTTCACCAAAAATACCCACTGTTACATTTTCCCACTTCCCTTAACTACTGCAACAGAGACCTAAGCACTACCGGTGCCAGGAAGGGATGCACGTGGGCAGGGTAAAAAAATGAAAGAGCATCCACTTCTGACAGTGTCACCGGAACCAGGAATAAACCTCGTGACACCAAAGAATGCCTGCCTTTTAACACTACATTGGTGACAACAGCACCAGCCGGGTAAAACTGAGCCCGGGGCAGGCTGGCCAGCGCGGACTAGGCCCGTGCGCGGGGCTGGCAC